GTGCTTCCGTTTCCCACGAGCCGTTGGCTTCGCATTTCAGCACGGTGAGAATGAACCAGGGAGCCCTTTGGCCGTGTTTTCTGCCCAGGCAATTGTGCTCATTTACCACAAGCTGCTTGCTGCCCATCCTGGCACGGTGAGAACGAACTAGAGGGCCTTTGGCTAGGCTGGCTGCCCCAGCAAATGCATCCAACCCCCACTACACTCTGTCAACCTGTGCAAGGCAATCATGGAAGTCTTTTATTAATTAGTGGTAGAACGATGTTATAGGTGCACCCCAGCCACATCGGAAATTAAACATGGCCTCAAGAGGTGAGGGAAAGGTTGGTGCACCCCAGCTATCTTTGAACTTGAATATTTACAGGTGGCAGAACAAGGGAACGGGTGGTGCACCAGAGCGAGGTAGGTCACCACTGGTACGTTTGCTTGGCGGTTAGCCATTGGCTGCGCATGCTGACACAGTGAGATTGAACCAGGGGGCCTTTGGCGAAGTTGTCTGCCCAGGCAAGTACTTCTGTTTTTCCAACAAGCCGTTGGCTGCGCGTCCTGGCACGGTGAGAATGAACAATGGGGCCTTTGACTAGGTTATCTGGCCAGGCAAGTGTGTCCGTTTCCCACAAGCCGTTGGCTGTGTGTCCTGGCATGGTGAGAACAAACAATGGGGCCTTTGGCCAGGTTTACTGACCAGGCAAGTGATTCCATTTCCCATAAACCGTTGGCTGCGCGTCCTGGCACGGTGAGAATGAACTATGGGTTGAACAGGTTGTCTGCCCAGGCCAGTGCATCCGTTTCCCTCGAGCCCTTGGCTGCACGTCCTGTGATGGTGAGAACGAACCAGGGGGACTTTGGCAAGGTTGGCTGCTCAGGCAAGTGTATCCGTTTCCCATGAGCCTTTGGCTGTGCATCCTGGCATGGTGAGAACAAACCAGTGGGCCTTTGGCCAGGTTGTCTGCAAAGGCAAGTAAGTCCGTTTTCTTGTGAGCCATTGGCTGCGCATCCTGGCACGGTGAGATGGAACCAGGGGGGCTTTGGCCAGGTTGTCTGCTCAGGCCATTGTGTCCGTTTCCTATGAGCCATTGGCTGTCTATTTCGGCACGGTGAGAATGAACCAGGGGGCCTTTGGCCAGGTTTTCTGCCCAGGCAAGTGTGCCCATTTCCCGCTAGCCACGGGTTGTGCATCCTGGCATGGTGAGAACGAATCAGAGGGCCTTTGTCTAGGTTGGTTGGCCAACCAAATGTATCCGACCCCCACAACACACTGTCAACCTATGTAAGGCAAATATGTAAGTCTTATAATAATTGGTGATAGAACTTTGTAACATTGGTGCACCCCAGCCACGTCGGAAATTGAACGGGCTTCAGGTGGTTTAACTGGGAAAGGCTGGTGCACCCCAGCTATCTTTGAACTTGAACATTTTCAGGTAGCAGAACAGGGGAGAAGGTGGTGCACCAGAGCCTGGTGGGTCACCAATGGTACGTCTGGCTGGCGTGTGCAGTCAGGCCTTGGCTGCGGATCCTGGCACAGTGAGAACAAACCAGGGGGCCTTGGCCTGGTTGGCTGCTCAGGCAAGTGTGTCCATTTCCCGAGAGCCACTGACTGCACGTCCTGGCACGGTGAGAAAGAACCAGGGGGTCTTGGGCCAGGTTGTCTGCCCAAGCAAGTCCATCCATTTATGAAAACGGTGAATCTGACCAATGAGAATGAGGTGAGTACGCTCATTGCTTAAGTTGTTTAGACCCAGGGCCAAGAACAATAGGACATGCCTGATGGGAAGCCACCTTTCCTGGATGTCCTGTGCCTGGATATACATGCCCGATGCCAATTATCCTGCCATTGAGTTTTCGAGGAAGGCATAAAAATATGGACTGGATGGAGTTTTTGGTGGTTCTGCATGGTGAGAATGATCCAGGGGGGCTTTGGCAAGGTTGTCTGCCCAGGCAAGTGCGCCTGTTTCTCAAAAGCCGTTGGCTGTACGTCCTGGCATGGTGAGAACAAACCAGGGGGCCTTGGCCAGGTTGGCTGCTCAGGCAAGTGCATCCATTTCTGGCGAGCTGTTGGCTACGCATCCTGGCACTGTGAAAAAGAACCAGGGGGTCTTTGACTAGGTTGTCAGCAATCTTTGAACTTGAATATTAAATGGACTCTAAAACCAGCACAGACACACACACACACACACTAGTTTTACGTCTTAATTGTGTGAGACGTTACAACGTGTTTTCCTTTGCCTTGCCGTGTTTGACCCTTGTTTTGTTTTGTTTATGTTGTATGCTTCCTGCCTTTTGACCATCCACCTGTTTATCGACCACGACTCTGGAATGCTCATATACATCTGTTTGTTCCTGTATTGACCATTGCTTGCCTGATCTTTCCTGTTAATAAACCTGCATTTGGAACAGCACTTCCTTGTGAGCGTCCCACTTCACATTACAAAAAAAAAACAAAAAACAGGCATGATTCATTGATATCCAACAGTAGACCACATCTGTCTGAACAAACTCACTATTATGTGGTCATTTGCACAGAGCTTAATCTTTTATTGGCACAGTAAATGAGCAGTGTAAGCTGAACACACACAGTTTTCCTGCACTTCAGTTTGCTGTTGTTCTTTACTGCTGTCGTTAAACCCTGACATTAACACACACGATGGTCAAAACTTGATTATTTGACTAAAGTTTTAGTTGCTTCAGTAAATATGCCAATATTAACAGACATTCAGATCACTTTATTTAGTGGAGCAGAATACTGATTTACAGTGCAGTAAAATAAAGTTTTGACCTCTAAGATAGTGTGGAATGCACATGTTTGAATTAATTTATGTTTATTAACATTTCACTTTTTGAATATCTGAAAGGAAAATGTTGATAAAATATGACACACCAGATATTGACATCAAAAATACACTGTCAAATTAAAAAATAAAACACTGTGCTGACAATAACGTGTTTTTGGAGGTCATTTTCATGTGTATTTACACAGATAATTTGCTGGGAAGTGTAAAGATGTGTCAGCAGATTGAGGATCCATTTGCAGCTTTGAGTCACAATGGGATGATCGTACAGGCAGGCTTAGATAACAACAAACGAGAATAATGAAGGAGAAACTTAACTCAGAGATTGTGAACAGGCAATCGGTCGAGACAGGCGGTGTACAGCAGAGAGAGTGTTCCATTAAACTGAGCAGAGTCACAGAAGGCAGGCAGCATCAACAATCACAGAAGCGGAAAAACAGTCCAGCGTCAAAACACAGAATCAGGTCAGTAAACATGGAAATGCTCAGAATTGAATGCAGGGCAAAACCACTTCGAAATGTGTAACAGCAGAGATGGAGTTTAAATAGTCATCAGGATAGCTTTCAGGTGCTAGGGTAATCAGACGGGAGGAATGCTGGGAGATGAGGTGAAACTGAGTTTGTAGTTTAGTGATGGTGACCTCTGGTGGCGATCAGGGGAACCACAGAACTTGGAAATGTTAAAAAAAAGACCCAACTGCACTTTTCCAGCAATAATTCAGTGTGATTTTCTTGATTATTTGCTCATCCACATCCACTGCCGTCCCCTAACACCATTAATCAGTGGAACATCTGACACTGAATGATGGAGACATCACAGAGACAATCTCTTTAGCTCAGAGGAGAGGAAAGGTTCAGCTAAACTGTGTATTTTCACACAACTCCTCATCTAGTCAAGAGTTAAAAGATTATTACCAGACACAAATATTATTGATCTAATCTGAAGTGTACAATAATGTACAGGAGCAGAATGTGAGAGATTATTAGTATTGTTTTTAAGATTTTTTTGTATTTTTTTAAGATCTCTTGTTTTAAAGGTAAAGGTTAAAGTTCATATTTTATCAGCATATTTAGCCTAATTACAATCAGAGACAGTTTAAGAGCAGCAGTCTTGTGTGTTTAAGACTTTATTTCAGCTGTTTTAATATGTTTAATCACACTTATACTTGATCTTTAGTCACTAAATACATTTCTTTATGATTTCCTGCAGAAACGTCAGTGTTTAGAGAAGCAACAAGCCATAATTCTGCACTGTAAGTTTTCATTTGAGTAAATAATTGTGGATAATATGACATTATATACATTAAGGTGTCGTTAATGGTAATTTATAACAGTAAATGAATCTTGCAGAGCATTTATTAATCCTAGTTAATGACTCCTAATAAATGAGAGTGATCAGACATTTACTGAAGCATTATTAATGCACAGTTGTGCTGGTGAACATCAGTTAATGCACTGAGAGTCAACAAGAACTAACAGAGAACAACTTTACTGTCATCAACTAACATGAACAGATCAATAAATACTGGAATAAATGTGTTTTTATTGTTCAGTTCAAGTCAAATCATGAAGAAGAAGAAGATCAGAAGAGCAGAAACAAATGTCACACTTCATTTCTCCTTTATTCATTGAGCTGCTGGATTTCTCTACAGTTGATTTAAGATTTGACAGAGATTCAGACAGGATTCAGACATTTCCGTGTTCATCATCACATTCTAATATCAGCAGTGGATTTGACATTGACTTTTATTATTTGTGCTCAAACAACAGAGAAAAAATATAAAGCTATATGCATGAATGACCTGTTCTTAATACATATCATCATTGTGAAATGATGAATACACCTCCTGGGCACCACCATCTCTCAGGATCTGCAGTGGGACATTCACGTAGACTCTATCGTGAAGAAAGCCCAGCACAGACTGTACTTCCTTCATCAGCTGAGGAAGTTTAACCTGCCACAGGAGCTGCTCGTGCAGTTCTACTCAGCTGTCATCCAATCCATCCTTTGCACTTCCATCATCGTCTGGTTCGGCTCAGCTGCCAAAAGTGACCTCCGTAGACTACAGCGAATAGTCCAGACTGCTGAACGAATCACTGGCACTACCTTTCCTACACTTCAAGAACTGTACTCTTCCAGAGTGAGTAAAAGGGCTTGCAAAATCACTCTGGATACCTCACACCCAGCACACTACCTGTTGGACCTGTTACCGTCTGGTCGGCGCTTCAAAGCACCAAGCACAAAAACAGCCAGACACAGGAAAAGTTTCTTTCCTCAGGTCATCTACCTCATGAACAGTTAATTGTTACTCTACTTTGCAATCAATATGTGCAATACTTTCCCATACGTACTTGTACACAGCACCTTATATCAATATGCACTGCAATACTTTATCCATTCGCATTTGTACACATCACCGTATAACCTGTATATTTATAACAAATCTGTACATACAACTCAACTTCCAGATTTCGGGACAAACTTCATCTCTGTTTAAGGTTTATCATCTGTTTTTTCTTTTTTTTTTCTTTCTCATATTTATTTTGTTTTGTCACTTTATGCACACTGGATGCTTCTTTAGCCAAAACAAATTCCTTGTGCATGTGAAGCACACTTGGCAATAAAACTGATTCTGAAAGACACTTTATAAATTTAGCTTTTTTGTGCAATATTAAAAGTAATTGCCGGGCAATATAATAAAAACAACATTTTAAATGAAGACTGCACACACACACACACGCACACCTGCAGAGGATTCTGGGTAAATCTCTCGTCAGTCTTCAGCTCAGTTTCACTGATGATCCAGAATAAACCCTAAACCCAGGGCAGAGCGGCTCAGTGAATGTGGTCTGGACTGAGTGGATGAGGCTCATTGTGTCTCTATAGATGTTGTAGAAGATCAGAGTTCCTGCACTGTGATCCACAAACACTCCTATTCTCTTGCTGAGCCGCTTTACAGGGAGACGAGTCTCTGTGTTATTGTGAATGAATATGAATCTGGAGGAAGAGCAGTGCAAACTCCAGGACTGAGCATTACGTCCAAACTCACACTCAACACCTCCCTTCCTCCTGATGCTCTTATATGACACTGATATACACACACCACCATCTCCACTCCAGTCAGTCTCCCAGTAACAGCATCCACACACACTCTCTCTGCACAACACCTGAGGATAAAGACCATCAAATCTGTCTGGATGATCAGGATATGGCTGATCCTTCCTCATCATCATCATGTCCTCTCTAACAGGCTTCACCTTTCTGTTCTCCTCAGACAGAATGAGTTGAATGTGTGCTGTGTTTGGATCCAGCGTGAGGAAACAGACATCTGAACAAAAGAACACACACATTTACAACCACAGCTGTGTGTGTGTGTGTATGTGTGAGAGAGTGAGAGAGAGTGTGTGTGTGAGAGAGCTTGTGTGTGTGTGTGTGTGTATGTGACAGAGAGTGTGTGTGTGTGTGTGTATGTGTATGTGAGAGAGAGCTTGTGTGTGCACGGGCATGTGTGTATGTGTTAGAGAGAGAGGGAACTTATGTGTGTGTGTGTGTGTGTGTGTGTGTAGTCCTACATTTGTGCAGTCCTGCTGTAATTCTCTTCTCTCCTCCATGATCCAGACTGTAAACACACACAGATTATCATTCAGTCAGTACACAAACATCAGCTTAAAACTCACACACACACACACACACACACACACACACACACACACACACACACACACACACACACACACACACAGTCCTTCAGTCAGTACACAAACATCAGCTTATAGCACACACACACACACACACACACACTAATTCTGCAGATTGAGTCCAATAAGACATGTGGATTGTGTGCTGAATGCTGGATTGTGATTGGCTGATCAACAATAGATGATATCAGTGCATTAATCAGTGCACTTACAACATGAGTGTGTGTGGAGCTGTCACATCTTAGACAGAGAGAAGTCAGGCAAGCAACGGTCAACTCAGGAGCAAACCGATGTATATGAGCAACCCAGGGTCATGGTAATGCTCACTATTGAAGCTGATAGAGGTGTGAGTATGTCGAATATAGGTGCAAATCACAAAAAACAAATAAATAAAAATCTCTATCAGGAAAGAGTTAAGAGCATTCAGTGTTACGATAGTAACAGGATTTGATGTTGTCAAGCTTATGTTTCCTCTTTAATATTAATTCACCATCAAGGACCATTGTACACCCATTGCTTGAGAAACTTTATTACGAGTTGTCTGAGAGAAGTAGGTAATAGTTATTGTAACGTTCCCTTGCAGAACGTATTTTGGATAAGTGTGTGCGTTCGTTTGTATGTGGGTGTGTCGTTTCATGCATGTGTTACAGGTACGAACGGCATTGGAGGATCCGCATTTCGTGCTGATGACGTTGGCCGCTGACGCTGGGTTTGCGCCACCAATCGCTGGTTGGCGTAGCGTTTAAAAGCCGAGCCCAAACTGCAATGGCGATCTCTCGATCTCTCTCTCTCTGTCTCTTTCCTTCTCGCAACTTCTCGCTCTTATTCTTTCTGTGGGTCTCTGTGAGGACAGTCTCTCTTGCGAGGGCTAGTCTGAGAGAATGTGTTTTGCTTGTTTAATGCTCTTGTCTAAAGTTTGCGATTTAACCATGTTTGTGAAATTGTCCAGTTAACTGACATGTTTGAGTGATGCCTCGGAGAGGTGTAGGAGTGAGTAAGTCGCGCGATATACATATACAACACTCAGAGTGATATTCTGTATTAGTTCACTAGGTTCAGGAGAATGTGCTGTTTTCTGTATGTTTTGTTTTTAGTTAGAGCAGTTTAGTTAAGACGTTTGGTACGTTGAAGATGTTTCTTTTCATGCTTTTCTTTTCATATTTAGTTTAGTTTGGTGAAAACAGTTACTGAGTTTTGTTATATTTATTTCTTTGATTTAAGCACATTCAACTACTTCCTCTCCCCCCAGGTAATTCATTATTTAATCATTGTAAATATTTTTCTTTCACTGTATATATTTTCACTGGTTTTCATTGGATATATGGGCAATAAATAATTGCAGTGATTATTTGATTCAGTTTATTTCTTTCTCCATCCGCTTGTCACACACATTAAACTAATGTATGTTATTGTCATCTACTCCTAGTTTAATATTAACATCTAAAAGGACGTAACATATAATTGGGGGCTCGTCCGGGATCTATTTAAATTATTTAAAATCTTAATTTAGTCCCGGATAATAGTTTTGTGTGTGTGTACTCGGATGGTGTAGAGAAAAAAGGAGAAAAACTGTGACAGTGAAATAGTATCATTTTCTCTCTTTGCAATTTTGGTCTTTTGTTAGTAAGTAGGCTATTTGTGAGAATTTAGACAATGAGTACTTTTGATTTAGAAACATTTGTTGCTAATCCGACATTGGAAGTTTTTGAGCGATGTAGGAAAGACGATTTGTTGCAGATAGGTGAGCACTATCGCATTCCTGTTGTGAGGCAGTCTTTAAAGCGCCTTATTAAAGACGAGGTTTTAAAGCACTTGATTAAACACAAAATTTTAAATTTACCTGATGCGGATGGCGACAAGGCTGGTGCAGAGGCTGTAGAACACAGTCCTGATAATTTAGTGGATGCGGAGAAGGAGACGGGTGAGTATGCCGAGGTGGAGACCGAGGCAAAGACAGGCTTGCCGCCCTTCCATCCATTTTCCCTGACTTCAATTGAGTCTGGGGGTGATGCGAGGCTAAAGGTCCGCCTGGCTCGCATGCAGATTGAAGCTCAAGAGCGAGCTGAGACGCGCCATGCCGAGATGAAGCTGCGCCTGGATATCCGTAAATTGGAAATCGACGCGGAGACACAGGTAAAACTTAGACAGCTCGAGTTAGACTCGATGAAGGTTGGTTCTGGCCGATCTGTGCAGTTAAATCCTGTAAGTCCTGCTGCTAATGATAATTCGGCAAGTGTTTTGAGTGATGTTTCGTCTAGTGCTTTTGATATTAGTAAGCATATTGCTTTAGTGCCTCACTTCAGAGAATCCGAAGTGGATTCCTATTTTGCTGTTTTTGAGCGTGTGGCTGCCGCACTTCATTGGCCTAAAGAAGTTTGGTGTCTTTTGCTACAGTGTAGATTAGTCGGAAAGGCACAGGAAGTTTGTTCTGCTTTAACTTTGGAGGAGAGTTTGAAATATGATTCAGTTAAGAGCGCTGTTCTCCGCGCATACGAGTTAGTGCCTGAAGCGTATCGACAACGTTTTAGAAACCAAAAGAAAAATGCACAGCAAACATTCGTAGAATTTGCCCGTGACAAGGGAGTTCTTTTTGATAAATGGTTGGCTGCTAACAATGTGAGAGATTTTAATGCGCTGCGAGAATTGATGCTTCTGGAGGATTTTAAAAATTGCCTGCCTGAGAGAATTGTCACATATCTTAATGAACAGAAAGTCACGACTTTGTCACAAGCCGCAACTCTTGCGGATGAGTATGTGTTAACGCACAAGAGCGTGTTTTCTGTACCCCGACCTGACAAGACATTGAGTTCATTCACGGCTCAAAATTCCGCACGTCCAAAAAGTAGTTCACCAACGAATAAAGAGATTAGAGAGTGTTTTTACTGCCACAAAATCGGACATTTAATTTCCGAATGTTTAGTGCTTAAACGAAAAAATCAGCAAGGGCAAATGAAACCAGCAGCTTTTGTGAAAACTTTGTCTGAACTTGACTCTAGTGAAAATGAAATTGACGCTGGCTTTAAGCCATTTTTAATGAAGGGACTGATTTCTGTAAATGGAAATACTGAAGAGCAGAAAGAAATTAAAATCTTGAGGGACACTGGCGCACTTCACTCGTTTTTAATTTCTGATGCACTTCCTTTATCTGATCAGACTTACTGTGGATCCAACATTCTAGTTCAGGGAATTGAGATGGGTGTTTTAACGGTGCCTTTGCATCGAATTCACTTGCAGTGTGATTTGATTTCAGGTTTTGTCAAAGTTGGTGTACGTCCTTCCTTTCCTGTCAAAGGTGTTGCGTTTATTCTCGGAAATGACTTGGCCGGGGATAAAGTTTCATCTTTGCCTGAAGTGGTTGATAAACCTGATTGTTTTATCCCTGCTGATGACATTTCTAACACGTTTCCAGACGTATTTTCAGCGAATGTAGTCACTCGTGCCCAAAAACGCAGAATCGGAGAAGAAATAATATTATCTGACTCATTTTTGCCACCTTTGTTTACTGAGAATCCTGTTTCGGTCGATTTTAAAAGTTTTAAAGGTGCTGAGAAAGAAACGCGCTCCGACAATACTCCGCCCACAGATGCGCCCGAATGTGATCTTTTAACTGAACCTATTTCGCACGAACGAATTAAAAATGCACAACGAGATGATGAGTCCTTAACGAAATGTTTTTCTGCGGCTGACAAAGATTTTAAACGAACGAAAAATAACCTGAGTGTATATGTGATTGAGAATGGATTATTGTTGCGTAAATGGCGTCCTAGCAGAGATGTAGAGAATGAATGGGAGGTTGTTTGTCAGATTGTTCTGCCTACAATTTATCGAGAACAAGTGCTAAATTTGGCCCACGATCACCCTTTATCTGGTCATTTAGGTGTGACAAAAACTTACAAGCGCATTCTTAAACATTTCTTCTGGCCTGGCTTAAAGAAGGATGTTGTTTCTCACTGTCGCACTTGTCATGTTTGTCAGGTTACTGGCAAACCAAATCAAAAGATTCCACCAGCACCACTTGTTCCGATCCCTATTGTTGGCGAACCATTTGAGCACGTCATTTTGGATTGCGTTGGTCCTCTTCCAAAGACGAAAGCAGGTAATCAGTTTTTATTAACTATTATGTGCTCTGCAACCCGCTTTCCCGAGGCCATCCCGCTTAGGAAAATCACTGCACCTGTTGTGATCAAAGCGATGATCAAATTTTTTTCTACTTTTGGGTTACCAAAAATCGTACAAACAGATCAAGGTACGAATTTTCTGTCAAAAGTGTTCGCGCAAGTTTTAACCTCATTAGGCATAAAGCACCGAACATCAAGCGCGTATCATCCTGAAAGTCAGGGAGCTATCGAACGTTTTCATCAAACACTAAAATACATGTTGAGAAAATATTGCATGAGCTCTGAAAAAGACTGGGATGAAGGAATACCATTAATGTTGTTTGCAATTCGTGAATCTACACAGGAGTCATTAGGGTTTTCTCCGGCAGATTTAACATTCGGCCACGTCTTTCGCGGGCCTCTTAAAGTGCTGAAAGATGGGATGTTAAATGAAAAATCAAAAGGAGTAAATATTTTGGATTTTGTTAGCCGTTTTAGAGAACGTTTGCACAATGTTTGCACTCTTGCACGTGAGTCACTGTCCGTAGCTCAGGAGGACATGAAAGGATGGTATGACAGAAAAGCTGTTGTCCGTGACATTAAACCTGGTGATGATGTTTTAGTACTGCTACCGGTACCCGGTTCAGCGTTGTCCGCTCGTTTTTCTGGCCCCTATAAGGTGTCGAAAAAACTGAGTGAAACTGACTTTGTGATAAATACACCTGATCGAAAAAGAAAATTTCGCACCTGTCACATTAACATGCTCAAGTTGTATTACTCTAGGAAAGTGTCTGGTAATCTCGAAAAGGAACAACTTGCTGCTGTTTCCTCTGATCCCTTAGTTGCTGCTGTCACTGCTGTGTGTGACTCTGCTGATGTGAGTGAGCTGCCTTCTCTGGGTGAGTGTCACAATGATGATGATGACTTTACGTTTCGTAATGACTTGACTATGTGTGGTAGACTTTTGAATTCGGAGATCCTTGATAATTTGCCAGATTATTTTAATACTTTGTCAGAAACACAGAGACGTGATTTGATCAAACTGTTGCGAGAATATCCGATGCTGTTTAGTGATGTGCCGACTCAAACTAACGTACTACAGCATGATATTCAAGTGACATGCGATCATCCTATTAAGCAACATGCTTACAGAATAAATAATGTAAAACGTTCTGTGATGAAAGACGAAGTTGATTATCTGTTAAAAAATAATCTAGCAGAGTATAGTCATAGTCCCTGGAGCTCTCCGTGTCTGCTTGTGCCAAAAGCTGACGGTACATTCCGTTTTTGCACGGATTATCGTAAGGTAAATTCCGTAACAGTGCCAGATAGTTATCCATTGCCCAGAATGGAAGACTGTATTGACAATTTGGGTTCGGCGAAATTTGTCACGAAGTTAGATCTACTCAAAGGATTTTGGCAAATACCATTATCTCCGCGAGCTGCACAAATTTCAGCTTTCGTTACACCGGATAACTTCCTACAATACAAAGTAATGGCTTTCGGGTTACGAAACGCTCCCGCAACTTTCCAGCGCCTCGTAAACATCGTATTGTCTGGAGTTCCAAATTGTCATGCATACCTCGATGATTTAGTAATTTATTCCTGTGACTGGGATGAGCATTTGTCTGCACTTCGTACTGTTTTTAAACGGTTATCTGACGCTTCGTTGACTATTAATTTAGCCAAGTGTGAATTTGGGAAAGCAACAATTACCTATTTGGGCAAAGAAGTAGGTCAAGGTCAAGTTCGTCCTGTGAGTGCCAAAGTGACAGCTATAGCTGAGTTTCCTATTCCTACAACGAGACGCGAGTTGCGCCGCTTTTTAGGAATGGCTGGTTATTACAGGAGTTTCTGTCGTAATTTCTCGACTGTTGTTTGTCCCTTGACTAGCTTGTTGAGTCCAAAAGCTGATTTTGTATGGTCTGATGCATGCCAACAGGCTTTTGAGAGTATTAAGTTGTTGCTTACTTGTGCACCTGTTCTTGCCGCACCTGACTTCTCACGTCCATTTAAAATAGAAGTTGATGCCAGTTCTTTGGGTGCTGGCGCTGTGCTTGTCCAAGAAGATGATGTTGGCTTTGATCACCCAATCTGTTACTTTTCACGTAAGTTTAATAGACACCAACGTAATTATTCCACCATTGAGAAGGAAGCTTTGGCTTTGATTTTGGCGTTGCAGTTCTTTGAGGTTTACGTGGGTTCATCAGTTTTGCCTGTTACAGTATACACTGACCACAATCCTCTAGTGTTTCTGTCTAGAATGTACAATCACAATCAACGCCTTATGCGTTGGTCGTTGATTGTACAAAATTTTAACTTAAACATAAAGCATAAGAAAGGATCTGAAAATGTCATTGCTGACACTTTATCTAGAGCTTAATGTTGCTTTATGTTTAGTCTTAAGAGGGTGAGTGTAACGTTCCCTTGCAGAACGTATTTTGGATAAGTGTGTGCGTTCGTTTGTATGTGGGTGTGTCGTTTCATGCATGTGTTACAGGTACGAACGGCATTGGAGGATCCGCATTTCGTGCTGATGACGTTGGCCGCTGACGCTGGGTTTGCGCCACCAATCGCTGGTTGGCGTAGCGTTTAAAAGCCGAGCCCAAACTGCAATGGCGATCTCTCGATCTCTCTCTCTCTGTCTCTTTCCTTCTCGCAACTTCTCGCTCTTATTCTTTCTGTGGGTCTCTGTGAGGACAGTCTCTCTTGCGAGGGCTAGTCTGAGAGAATGTGTTTTGCTTGTTTAATGCTCTTGTCTAAAGTTTGCGATTTAACCATGTTTGTGAAATTGTCCAGTTAACTGACATGCTTGAGTGATGCCTCGGAGAGGTGTAGGAGTGAGTAAGTCGCGCGATATACATATACAACACTCAGAGTGATATTCTGTATTAGTTCACTAGGTTCAGGAGAATGTGCTGTTTTCTGTATGTTTTGTTTTTAGTTAGAGCAGTTTAGTTAAGACGTTTGGTACGTTGAAGATGTTTCTTTTCATGCTTTTCTTTTCATATTTAGTTTAGTTTGGTGAAAACAGTTACTGAGTTTTGTTATATTTATTTCTTTGATTTAAGCACATTCAACTACTTCCTCTCCCCCCAGGTAATTCATTATTTAATCATTGTAAATATTTTTCTTTCACTGTATATATTTTCACTGGTTTTCATTGGATATATGGGCAATAAATAATTGCAGTGATTATTTGATTCAGTTTATTTCTTTCTCCATCCGCTTGTCACACACATTAAACTAATGTATGTTATTGTCATCTACTCCTAGTTTAATATTAACATCTAAAAGGACGTAACAGTTATGAAGATTGGTAAGAGAAGTATGGATGAACGTTGAACTGGCTGATCAGGGAGTCTCGTCCGGGGATACTCAGAGTAGGGCCTTTGTCTCTTTGGTTAAAGTGGAACCTTTAGAAGACCCCCAAGAATTTTGAGAGCTGATGTGGGCTTAAACTTAACAAAGGTCGTTGAGGTTGTGTCGCATATATAGGTGATATGCTTCTGATGACCATCGGCCTAGGACTCTGATGGTTTCATCTGAGATGCCTGATCTAGCTGCAGTAGTGGCTGCTCCGATCCAAAAAGAGTGTGTGGAAGAGTGTTTTGGAGATATACCGGATTTGGGCACGGTTCGAATAGCATAGTGTGAGTACGCCCTGAGAGTGAGCAGGACAGTGGACTGAAGCAGCAGGGGGCATGGACAAAGTGGGAGAGTAGCCAACAAGGTAAGATCACCTGGAAAAACATCATGCAGGCAGTCTTCCATCACATCGGATTCCTTATCCAGGCTCATACCAAGTCCAGTCAACCTTCACGTGTGGGGCAAGAATGAGACTTCAGCTTGCCAATTATGCTCTGGTAGGAGATCATTACAACACCTATTGAGCGGCTGTCCACTGGCAGAAGGGCGCTATCGTTGGTGGCATGACTAATTACTGACGGTGGTGGCAGAAAGCATTTGCAATGCCATAATTTCTGGTAGGTTCAATCTAGACTCGAAAAGGAGGATTGACATTGTGAAAGCTGGGGAGGAACCCTGCCAACTGCAAAAGACAAGGTCAGGCCTCCTCCACTGTTGCAAGTTGACCTGGGGAAGCAGTTAAATTTCCTACAGCACATAGTTACAACATCACTCCCAACCGGCATAATTAGCATTTCTGAGGAAACAAGACAGCTGATTTTGCTTGAACTCACAGAGGCCAGGGAAGAGCGGATGGAAGAGGCAAATGGAAGGCAATGCTCAAAGTACTCAGAGCTAGTACAGAAGGGAAGGGGGCTGGAAGACCCAGTGTGAGCCAATAGAGGTGGGCTATAGAAGGTTTGCAGGGTGTTCACTCTGTAAATCTTCAACCAACTAGGCCTAGCAGTACCAGCTAAGAAGAGGGCAGTTAAGTCTGTTTGCCAAGCTGCAGAGAAAGCCACAAGATGGCTATGGATAAAGAGGGCTGATCTGTGAGTGATGGATACTGGGACGCAAGCTGTGGAGGTGATGATGGTGTGGATGATGGAGGATGACTTGTAGATCAGAGAAGTATTGGACACAAGAAGAATTAAGAAAGCCAGGATTTCAGAAAATGTGCAGTTTGACCGGGTTTAGGAACCACCGTCAGTTTTCACTCACTTTGGGAAGCACTGGTCAAGTAAACACTATAAAGAATACAAAAATGTGGCACAAAACCTGCTCCAAAACCTCACACACACACACATTGTTGACCTAATAGTGTACGGTTCTTCAGCAGAAATGTAAGGAAGAAGTTTCACTGCTCAACTGAAATGCTGAAACTGTACAGTGTTAATATGAGATATAATATCACGCTTAATGTGAGAACTGCCCCAGTGCACTGACATTTTTAACAGGTTTGGATTCATATCTGGAGACGAAAAGAGAAGAGGAGTAAAGTAGGCTACAAGGTGTCTGTTTTCAAAATTCTAGTGTCTTTATAAAACCCATTCAGTGTAAAAGCACAAGGCCAGTGATGCTCCACATACTTGAGTTTGTCCAGTGTGTAATTTGGACACTGCCATTTTTCAGAGAGCAGCTTGACTCCTGAATCTCCTGGATGATTGTAGCTCAGATCCAGCTCTCTCAGGTGTGAGGGGTTTGAAGTCAGAGCTGAAGACAGAAAACCACAGCCTTCCTCTGTCACCATACAGCCAGACAATCTACAAACACAGCAATAGTCCACATCACACAGTTGGACAATCACACATCTCTTTGTGTTGTGAAGATGCTGACTGCTGTTTCTGCTCATGTCAACAGCAGTGATGAACACACACATCCTGATTAGCTCTCCTTATTGATCAAGCCCTCGCATCAGCAAACATACACACACACACACACACACACACACACACACACACACACACTCGACATCATCTGTAGAAGTGTACAGAGCAATGACATTGTTCATAATACACCACATCAAGCTGTAAAGTCTACTGTGAGGAGGAAGACACACTTGAGCTCAGAAGATCATCTAGTAATGTAACATGTAATGTTTAAGAAGTAATGTAATGTATTAAATTACTGTCTAACGTGTAATTGAATATGAGCTGATTTTCATTATTTGTATCTATTTTACATTGTGGACTATGTTGTAAATAAACTAAAACAAACACAAACTCATTCTCTTGCTTTCACACTTATAGATCGATTATTTTGTTGTGAAACCGGGATTAAAATTGTTACAATGTTTATTGTTGTTCTCTGTGCAGTTCCCTTTCACACGTTAAAGTTTCTAAATGGACCAAAATAGTAAAAAAAAAAAAGGTCACTTGCGAGTAAACTCTCCTTACACTGGTCAGAGTTTCAGAAGTTATTTTTCAGAGTCCCACAGATTCTGCTCAGCTGTCATATGTTCTTATTTTAATTTATGATGATGAGCACCTCATTTCAGATTTTAAGGGTTGTAAAAATTGATTTATTTAATTAATAATCAACTAATTATGCATTAAAAACTTAAGTTATAGAGAGAAATGAAGTGAGACTGCAGTCAGATCATGAAGCAGATCAATGTTGATATTTCTATTGAGGTATCAGTGCAGAAATGAACAAAACAACAGGCCAGTCACAGACAAGCTTGTCAGATGAGAATGTCAATGTCCATTCTAAATACACGGGGGATTTAACCATTTTCTGAACAAGCACGCTCAACCAATGGCTTTGCTTCTTAGGTGAAACAGCATACAGTATATTGCTGAACTCGATTGAAACCAATGTCCAAGTTCCAGTCTAAATATTAAGTCAGAGAAAATTCTTCCGTTATATGATAAGAGTGTCATGTGACTTATATGTTTTAAAGAAACTGCAGAATGCACAAATATCAGAGCAGGTTAAAACTTCACCAGGACCCAAACCACCCCTCAGACTCCACACCTCTAAATTTTTTTCCTTACAATACACTGAGTTGGGAAAAGGGCTTCCATATTTGTTAATCCAGTATTTAACTATTTTTCTGTTTTTGCTGTTGAGTGGAAAAACATTTACCTCAGTGTCTCCAGTTTACAGTATTGACTCTTCAGTCTATTAGAGAGAAGCTTCACTCCTGAATCCTGCAGGTCATTGTTACTCAGGTCCAGCTCTCTCAGCACACAGTTTGAGGATTGTAGAGCTAAAGACAAACTCTCACAGCACTGAACAGTGAGATTACACATGGCCAATCTGAGAAAGAAGACAGATTACATTAACAGAGTGACTTTTAGTCATTCATCAAATGTAATACATAAATAAATAAATAAATAAATATCAATCACACTGCAAAAAAATGCTTTTCTTCCTTAGACTTTTTGTCTTGTTTTTAGTCCAAATATCTAAAGTCTTAAATCAAGAAGAATTTTCTAGACAAACAAAACACATTGTCTTGTTTTCAGAAATAATATGCCAATATTAAGTGAGTTTTTCCTTAAAACAAGCAAAATGATCTCGTCAAAAGAAAAATCAAGATTAGTTAGCTTATTTCTTTGGCAGATTATTAAAACAGACAGTTGATGTTTTTATTTTCTATTAATTTTTCTCAGAATAATTTAGAGAAACTTTTAGAGTTTTTTTTGTTTGTTTGTTTGTTTTAAATGTAAGATTTAGTTTAAGTGACATCAATATTTAAGAGGTATGTGGTCCACAGTGAGTTTACTCAATTGGCAATGCAGGGCTCTACATGTGGGTATGGGAATCTTTTTATTCCATAAGGCCAAATTCAGACAGAATTAAACTTAAAGTATGCTAAAGCAGTTGTAATGATTTAGTAAAAATAGAGCAGATCTCTTAGGTTTATAAATCTGATAAATTGTGAAAATGACACACATGCACAGTATCATCAGCTTATAGATTGTCAAGTCGGACACATGTAGAAATAAAAATTGTACTGGTGGTCCGAAAGCCACTGCAACTGATTCTATGGTGCTTACTGGAGACGTGAACCATTTCAAATGATTCAGTTCAATTTGATAAACTAGTTTGAATGGTTCACTTGTAAGATCAAGTTTAAATTAAATGATTCCTTTGTGAATCAGCCATCACTAAAACAAAACAAGCAAAAAAACAAAAACAAAAAAACAAACAAACTGTTAATCATTCAACTAGAGGTTGAACTCAGACCTCAGTGTCTCCAGTTTACAGTGTTGACTCTTCAGTCCATCAGAGAGAAGCTTCACTCCTGAATCCTGCAGGTCATTGTTACTCAGGTCCAGCTCTCTCAGGACACAGTTTGATGATTGTAGAACTTTAGACAAACTCTTACAGGACTGAACAGTGACATTACAGCTCTGTAGCCTGTGTAGAGGACAAACACAATATTTATGCGGTCATCTAGGGCCTCATGTGTTAACAATGCGCACTCACTAAAACTAAGAAATGCACAATTTAGTGTTTTTGTCCATTGGTGACTCTCAGAGGCAATGAAGTGTAGTTGCAAACAATAAACTATTAAGTGTAATGACCACCACATGTGAGAAACATTGCAATCAATTAGTAGTTGATAAAACATTACACATCACTGCAACGTTTTATAGGAAATTCAAATCAATTATGTTATCTAGTAAAAATGTGTGTGAAAATGCAACCTATTGCAATGGCAGCATTGGTCTAGAGCAGTGGTCACCAAATTTGTTCCTGGAGGTTCGGTGTCCTGCAGATTTTAGGTCCAACCCTAATCAAACACACCTGAACAAGCTATTCAAGGTCTTACTAGTGTGGCCAGACAAGCGCCGCCCCTCTGTGGTTGCGGGTGGCATACCCCCTACCCTATTAGTAATCAGTGGGGGAAGATATAAAATGACAACCAGGATGGTATGTGTCACGAGTCCCGCCCCTTCTGACTGGTCACTTCCTGCTTTCAGTCACTCGCCGGCAGGTATGTGGATGACAGCTCGCCTGTGTACGGGTTGCTTCATTGGGAAAGCTCATGTTTTGGATGTTTGTTTAGTGTTGCGCCTTATCGGGATCACAGTGTTGGGCTGCATCTACGGCTGCTCTTCTGCAGGTAACTGGCTGCGTTGGCTCGTTGCTTTTTGGATGGAAAGTTGATTGTAGTAAAGTGATCATTATCTGTTTCCTCCTTCTTTGCAGTCAGCAGTTCGTTTCACTGCGTTACAAAACTACGTTTAACCCAACGGATATGTTTAGGACTTATTAATGATTGATTGAGCCCGTTTTCCTCTGTGTTGGCGTTCTGATGCTCTTGATTAGGCGAAATTGAGTGTTGCGGTAAGTGATTTTAAAATCTTTGGATTAGCTTGCTCATGCACTCAATCTAACTTAAATCCCCTTACCATTTTACAGACCGAAAATGATTGCTGGGTGCCGTATGAAAACCTATAGCTACGTGGGAGGTTTTAGTGTGTGCGTGTAGTGTATTTTTAGTAGATGGGTTTTATTGAATTTAAACAGTATATACCTTTTTGATGCATTTAAAAAAAAAATAAAGTTCGTATGTATTTTTTCCAATCCACGTCTCTTGCCATTTACTGCAAGCTTACCTGTGTTGCCTTTTATAATATAAAATATAGGTCCCTGGCCATATTCCAGGGTGGCGTAGTCGTGCTAGCTGTTGAACATTAATGAAACCCTTGGTTATGCCACACTAGGAATAAACACCCAGGCAGGTGTGTTGAGGCAAGTTGGAACTAAACCCTGCAGAGCACTGGACCTCCAGAAACGAGATTGGTGACTCCTGGCAAAGGGTATTGCCCTTATTAATCTTGTTCAGCATGTCTGTTACAAGTTTTCCAGTTGATAAATTCAATGTGAAGCGATTAATTATTTTTCCTAATGTAATTAAGGTGATGGGCCACACACACATTGCTATATAGGCACTACCTAAAGAAGAATTTATTTATATATGTGAATTAGAAGCATTTACGTTAGATAAATGTGCAGATGATATGTGATGTACAAATATGCATTTAACAATTATGACCCAGGCAAGGCAGTCTGGATGAGCGCATGATTTTACCTATGAACAGTTTTAGCGTACCCAATTCCACTATAGCACAAGTGTTTGGACTGTTGGGGAAACAGAAGCACCCTTAGGAAACCCACGCCAACATGAGGAGAACATGCAAACTCCACACAGAAATGCCAACTGTCCCAGCCGAGGATCGAACCAGTGACCTTCTTGCTGTGAGGTAACAGCGCTATCCACTGTGCCACCATGTCACCCTCTTTTAAATTTCTCTATCATTAAAATTACAAACCACAAAATTACAAATCTTTACTTAAAAAAATAAAAATCAGTTTAGTAATGAAATATTTAGCGTATAGAAAGTATTTGATTTGTACATGTCTTTAATAGCCAGTGTAAGTGTTGTGAATGGAAGTGACACAAACTGAAGTAAGATCCAAATGCAGGTTTAATCGGTGGTCAGGCAAGCAGTGGTCAACACAGGTGTGAACAGGAGTGAGAGGACAATCCAGAATCACAGTCGAATACAGGCAAGAGGTCAGAAAGGCAGGCGGCAGGCTAAGACAAAGAGGCTAACAAGGCTAATGGTCGGTACACAAGATAACAAGACTGGGCAAATGCGGTGTAGTGTTACTAGTAACAGATATGTGATGAGTATGATGAGTGGATGAGTGGCTTGTTATCATGGTGTATGGTGTGTTATCAGTCTTTGACAAGGTTCAGCTGGTGAGTGTAATCAAGCGAGATGAATGAGCAGGCGTGCGTGTTTGTAAGAAGTGCATGTATGAATATGTAGTCCTGGGAAATGCGGAAGTGTTGTCCTGGTATAGTGGAAACCAGCGATCTCCGGAGAACGATCGCTGGTTATCGTAACAGTAAGCAACATCTTGTGCACTTTTAATTTAGCGCAGTTCACCAGTAGGCTAACGTTAATTCAGTTTCAATATTCCTGCAAACCACATAATATCTTTTGCTGCTACTGAATATAAGATCAGTGTACCAAACTTTTAAGGCCATCAGTTGCTCAGGAGTATTGAGATAAATACAAATGCCAGAGACAGAGTCTGGAGATGGCCACTGTTCCTGAGCAAAACATAGCAGATGTGTATCTTTATTACCATGGTTAATTCAATTCTTAGTTCTTAAATATAGTTTAATTTTTCATGTTTTAATTTTTTATGTTTAATAATACATATAATTTAATGCGCTTTGCACAAATGATACAGATTTATTGTAATTTCCTTGAGTGAGCATTATAGAAAATGCATTAAGACGTTCCATTCTGCATAGAAATTAGGTAGTTAAGAATAGTTTAGTCAGTATTCTTTAAATAAATTAACGAGAGAGAGAGAGATAAGGTGCAGTTAGATAGCTAGCGACGGGGCTTGCTGCCCAACACAGTAACACTAGGTAAACCAGTAACTACTGTTAGTATCACCCATACTCCTGTCTCCATTTTATCAGTCCACCACTACACAGTCATGGCACAAAATAGCAGGCTCCAGTCCTTCAGCTCACAAGATTGCCGCCGGCATTCTGCCAGTGCACAAAATGGCCACAAGCAGCCTTCAAGCTCACAAAATGGTAAGAGCCAATTGTTCAGAAGATGGTTTCCTGTTCAAGTATAGTCTTGCCATAGTTCCTGTCATTATTCCTGTTCCTGATATAGCATCATCTGAGTCACAAAAATGGCTATCACTACTTGAGTTGCCAGAGCTGCTGCCAGCCAGATTTCTCAGAATTTTCCAAATGGGGGGCGCCAGATCCCTTCGAATTCCCCAAATGGTGCGCACCAGATTCTCCCGAGTCCCAAAAATGGCCAGAACCACCTCCTGAGTCCCACGATTGACCAGAGCCTACACCTGAGTCCCACAAATGGACAGAGCTGCCATCCTAGTCCCACGAATGGCTGTCAGAGCTATGTGTGACTTTCCAGTGCCACCAGAGCCGTGTGACTTCCTAGTGCCGCCAGAGCTATGTGACCCTCCTGTGCTTACTGAACCAAAGCCCCCTGACCCTCTGGGAATATATGAACTGCAAGTGCCTCCTGAACCTTAGCCTCTAGACCCACTGGGGTGGTTTGAACTGCCAGTGTCTCCAGAACTTAGCCTCCTGACCCAGAGCCTTCTGAACCTGAACCCCCAGACATACCACAGCTTCATGCTTCTGTTTTTCCGCAACTCCACCCTCCACGCCCACCGCAGCTCGATGCTTAAGGCCCTCTGCTGCTCCAAGCTCCAGGCCCTCTGCAGCTCCATGCCCTCTGCAGCTCTACGCTCCTGGCCCTCCAGAGCTCCAGGCTCTCCGGAGTGCCAGGCTCTCCGCAGCTCCAGGCCCTCCACAGCTCCATGCCCTCCGCAGGTCCACGCTCTCCACAGCTGTATGGACCTGGACATACATCCTGCCCCCTATTCCGCCTCTGCTCCACCTTCCTTCTGGACTGCAGTGGAAGGGTCTGGAAGCCAATCTCTGTGGGGGCTGTAACAGTCACCAACGATCTAGCTACTGCAGATCACTGAAGAACTACAAATCTGCCACCTTCATGCATCTCACACACACACACCTGTTCCACTCTGCATGTACTTGTGTGACTGTGTTGACCGTTGCCTGTCTGATCATTCTCATAATAAACTGCATTTGGATCAGCACCACTTAAAATGTAACTTTTTCCTTTGCTGCTTGCTTTTGCTGAAGGGATCTCAATAACATAATGAAATTGTTGTTGTGCTCATACATGTGCACTTAATTTCAGAGATGCGAAGTAATGAAGAGCAACATTTTGTTACTGTACAACTAGATTTATCTGACTATATACTATATACTTCACTATAAAATTTGATTTTCTGACAACTTTTAACTTTTAGTAATTACGTTTTTACACAAATATCTGGACTTTCTATGTTTTTGGAAGACAGGGAAAACAGATGTTTTTTTTTTTTAAGTTTTAACTATTAAAATGAAAAAAAAAAAAATAGAAGATGGTCCTGAGATGAAAAAGAAAAAAAAACATGAACAAAGTAAGCAAAAATGATTTTCTGTAGCATCTTAAAAAGTTGCTTTGTAAGGTACTTTAAAAATTTAAATAAAATAAGATACAGCTATAGTAGAAAGATAGAAAATAATTATATTCAATAAAAGGTTCAAATAAAAATGTTGTTTGTATGTTTTTATTTGCTAAAAAAGATTTCCCTGCACCAGTTATAAGGATTGCCTCCCCTGTAATCTTTTCTGCAGCTCCTCAGCTCATCCCCCGTTTCAGTGTTCTCTATTATAGCAGTTTCAATGTTCTCTAGTTCCTCAGATTCAAGCATCACAAGCACAGCTGTTTCCACACTAAATCCTGTGGCTTCATCACCTGTCATGGCTGCTA